ATAGGATTTATATACAAATGCATTCCTTTATGTTGAGTTTGATGAGTAATTTTATAAAAGGATAATATGTTGATTTTAGACCCATGCATGCTTGGTTTGAAATGTGAGACTAAATTAAACTGCTGGTTGCTAACAACAAACCCATTAACACTTGGCGTTCCATGATACACTTAATTAGCAAGGTGCTTAAGAGATGCAATGGCCAACACACTTGGAATGGAGGGATAGTTATTTGTGAGCATAGCACTTATGCTTGTTTTTCTTGACACTTGTGCTTGTGCTTGATTTCATGAACTTTATGTTCGCATTTGTTTTTCTGGTTTCGAGTTATGCTTGTTGGTTATTTACTCTTATGTACTATACGTCCACTCTTATTGATTATTTATTTTCGTGGACTGTGTGTCCACACTTATTAATCATTCTGATCAAATCCTACTAAAAAGTGAATTTTGAAACTTAAGTGTTGTTGAAATTTAATCTTTTAAAGCAAATTGTTACTTTTACCATATATATTTGGATTTTAGATTAATCTGAATAATTCCCAAAATGTTTAAACATATGTTGATGTTTAAAATGGAACTTGAATTTCTAATAAATTGTAATTGAATTCATGCATTCATGGTTTTTTACATTTACATAACTATCAATATATGTTATATATATATGAGGTATGTGCTTATATTATTTTTAATTCATTATTTCATTAAATTTATAAAAGACTCATTAATGTATTTTTCATTATTTCCATCAACTGTAATTGGAACATTATTAATTGAAAAATTATTTTTTCCTTAGATAATTATGATTGCCTTAGATTTGACAAAATTTTCCATAAAATGATTAATTGAATTATTAATGTCAATTTCAACAGTCATAAGCAAAAAATTTTGATACAATCTAAGAGTTATATTTGATATTTAAATACTTATTTACTATTAAAACTCTTGGATTTACACTAATGTGGATGGATATTTTTACCTCATTTTTTAAAAAAATTATTGAAGACTTAGTTATCATGAATTTAATATTTTGAGACATAACTGTTATTTTTCCTAACTTAAATGAACCACCTCAAGGTAATTTAAAAACAAAAAAAAAACTTCCAACAGGGAACGTGTTGTTAACGTGTCTGGTCAATAGTTGCACTGACCTGGTTAATATTCGATAATGTACTTGTGTGTGTAATCAACATCTTTTCACCGACAGAATTTGTGAGAGAACATGAAATAACTCATTAAGAAAGTATGGGCCCACACTGTAATTGCAACAAATGAAGCCCCTATTTTGAATTTTCACAGGAAGCTAGATGCATTTTCCAGGATATTATCTGTCTACATTCCTGAGAGACTTAATTAGTCTCAACACTTTTCATTGGATACATTATTTTCGACGTCTTTATCTGTTTATCTGTCATATTGTCTTTCATTTAATGGTGCTAAACCCTCTCATGTTCGTAGAAGAAAAAGGATCGACATGCGTGATTGAACAAGATTCTATTATATATATTTCTTTTGTAGGATCATTTCAATTTTCAAAGTCGTCTTCTTGGAGACGTTAATTTTCACCAACCAATTTGTGAGAGAACATAATTAATATTTCGATCACTTTGTGGGAGTGACGCTTAAAAATTGTGTAATCTGTGCGCAGTTGAATTCAGATGATTTGCATATATCTAGTGAGGATATAATAAGTTGTATATTTGGGCAAACAATTACTAGCTCTGACATTTTGGTTATGAGCGTTATACCAGACCAAGAGCTGGTTTCCAATTCATTTGGGTCTCAACTAGGTTCATTTATTTTTTTTTAAAATGAATGCTTTAATTCAAAAAATATAAAATTGTATTATATTAAATTGGATTCACTTAATCACTTCAATGCAAAATTATGACTTTTCCATCGTACGGTGTTCATCCTGTGATGAGATCTGGACCATTCAGGTGATGATCTAGATTTAAAATATTATTATATATTTTTATTCTATATTTATTAAAATAAAAATTTATAAAAATTATAAAATAATTTCAATAATTTTTTATTTTGAATCTGATCTAAATTTAATTTAAAGGGTCCAATTTAATTTTTAAAATTTTTAAAATTGTCATACATTGACTATCTAAATATACTTTGCATAGTTCATATTTAATTTGATGTTAGTCTAGATTGTGCATAATATATTTGAATAATCAATATACATTAATTATAAAAATTTTAATATTAAATTAGATCTTTTAAATTAAATCTAGACCATATTAAAAATAAAAAATTATTAAAATTATTTTATAATTTTTATAAATTTTTATTTTAATAATATAATATATAATAATATTTTAGAGTTAAACCATTAAAATTAAAATTTAAATGATCTAAATCTCGTCATGATGGTCATCCCGTGATGAGCAGGAAACCAGTTCCGACGGGAGACCTATCATCCACTTAGTTAAAATCCAAATCTCATGGTAGGACTTGCACTTTGTCTTTTTTCCTCTTCAAATATCAAAATTCCCCACATTTTTTTGTCCTTTCTTTTATCCAATCAATGACTTGCACTTTGTATCGACTTTGTAGTTTCTACATTGACAGCTGACTTCATATGGCAGCTAAATCTGAAAGCTTCATTTCTCTCCCATGCCGCAAGACCTTTTAATCAACGCACACGTATAAAGAAAAGTGGGTGGTTAGTTAACTACCAAAGTCTTTAAAAATTTGCTCCTTTTTAATACATATAATTAATCATCTGTTTCTAATGGTTGTTTTTTAAGTAAGTAATTTGAATATGCTCCTATAAACATCTTTGGTAAAAACATGTTTAATTGTATGTAAAATCCTATATCTTTTTATAAGAAATAAATAACTAACAACGTAGTACAAAATAATCTCGCATTCCAGCTAGTCTGCAGTTGCATCCACCTGAGTTGTTGATGCATAAATAAAGGTTCTCCTTCTGCCGAAATTAAGTTGAACTAAAGTATCGATCAGGAACATGTTGGGGTTAGGTTCAATGACCTTTATATAAACAAGGGACAAGTATGGGTAACAACAAGGGACGATTAATTTACATGGTTGTATTACGGTCCACTTTTTCCCAAGTCACCTTCGCTTTTTCAAAATCAAAATCAAGACCAACTAATAACAGAAAATGATCAATAACCCTCAAATGTTCAAGTGCCCGACGGTTCTTCCTACTCTTTCAGCCAAATCGATCCTCTTCCACTCACCCATCGATTTAAAAAAGTGTTAATTTTGTCATTTCCTTTAATATTTTAATTGCACTTCACTATTCTTGGTCTGCATTGAAATTTCAAAGTTCAATGGCCTCTCTTTTTAATTAAGTTTGGTTAAGAGATCTAGATTGAAATTTTCCCATATTATTGGTTGAGGTGCACTACAAAAAAAGTTGACTTTTAATGGCCACAGTCAAAGTCGCCCGCTTAGCTTCTAATTGGTAATTTAGTTCAACTTAATTTCGTCCGAAGAACCATTATATATGCATTAACAATTCAAATGGATGTAACTGCTGACTAAATGCTTAATTTATTTTCCAAGTTTCTTTGGTGAAAACTAACTTCTTTGTTAAACGAGATTAATGTACGTGCAACGAATATATTCAAATATTCATATTAGATTAAGAACATAGCAATGGTTTTTGGACCACATTATCCTTGAAATTTCAAGTAATTCCCAATCGACTCAGGATTAATCAAAGTAACAAAAAATACTTCCTTCAGCTTATAATATAAGTCATTTTTTAGAAGCTTGGTTCAAAATATAAAACATTGGATAAGTGTTATATATATATATATATATTTCCAATTATATTTTTTCTTTAGTGAGTAATTAATGATGGTGTTTTGAATAAGGCAAGTGTCATATTTGTTATATTTTAGAGCACGATTGGAAAGATGTGGATATTTTTCAAAAACCAAGGTTTTAACCAACTTTTTTTTTTATAAATATAATTTAATTAACAATGACTTATATTATAATTCAAGGAAGTATATAAAAATCAAAATGTTATTTTTATTAGATGTGGGGCTGACTGGCCTTGGCAGTTGGCATCATATGAAGTCAATTTTTTATATTTATTTTTAGCATTTTATCAAACAACATCATGTGGTAGGTATCCATGTGACTCGCGACATAAGATATGTCAATGGCAAAAAAAAAAAAAAGTGATATAAAATATGTTGACGGAAGACTTTCTTTTATAGCATTGACGGAAGACATTTTAATTTGCCTTGTCTCATCGAATATAATTACTCTACCAACCTCATTGCATCGGATTTTTCTTGCCCACGGCATTTGATCCATAAATAAGTTGCAGCAGTTACATTAATTAAGATTGAGTGGGTACCACCACTACCAAAATAATAATAATAATACTAACAACAACAACTTTTAGCAACGATTCTCCTGTCGATGTTATAAAAAAAAGATCCTTCCGTCAACACATTTTATGTGATAGTTACATTAATTAATAGGCACCCATTTCATCAATAACATATTTTATATCGTCAGTCAAATGGGTACCTATCACATGGTATTGTTTAATGAAATGCTAAAATAAATAAAAAATATTGACATCACATGTTGCCAACTGCCAAGGCCAGCTAGCTCCACAACTAACAAAAATAATATTTCGATTTTATGTATTTGTTATTGCTGGATTAATCATCGGTCGACTAGAAATTAATTATAATCTCAAGATAATTTGGTCCAAAAACCATTGCTTTGTTCTTATTTTAACACAAATATTCGAATATTCGTTGCATGAAGATCAATTTCGCTAAATAAAAAAGTTCAGTTTTCACCGAAGAAACTAAATAAATCAAGCATTTAGTCTATAGTTGCATCCACTTGAGTTGTTAATGCAGATATAAAGGTTCTCCTTCTGCCGAAATTAAGTTGAACTAAAGTATCAATCAGATGCTCCGACATTTCGGTTTGAATTTGATTGAGGGGCTAATTACAATTAGAAATCTGTATCATTTCAAAATTCCTATGGGACCGAATGATTCAAACTGGAAGGTGCCATTCTACAAAAGGCTAGAGGAACTGCTGAAGAAGTTCGTTTCATCAGTGAATCATGTTCAACTTGGCGTTAATGATGACACCATGAGTTATGAGCTGTACAATGCTGTTCTAGATGTCTTGGAGAAAGTATGCAGAGAAAAACAACTTGATTGTTCCACCGTTTTACATCAAGCCACTCCCACGGGCAACTCGTTGCTTCATGTTGCAGCTGAACATGGGAGGGCGAGGATCGCAGAGCTGCTTGTTGATAATAATTTTTTGCTGATTGCGACAAACATTAGAAAAGACACAGCGCTTCATGTTGCCACGAGGGCTAAGAATATTGGAGTGATGAGGGTCATCTTGTCCAAATTTGATGATGCTAGCAGTAAGGATAACTTTATGATGTTACCCAATAAGTCTGGGAACAGAGCTCTGCACGAAGCTATTCTGAGCAGGCATCATGAGGGGTTTGATTTCCTTCTAAGTGAGCAAAGTGAAAGTACTTGGCCTTCCTATTGGGACACCCACCCAGCAGACTCACCAATATACGTGGCAGTCCAAACTGGGGATGTTGAAATTCTTCGTCGTCTCTTGCAAATTCCGTTTCCCAAAGACCGGGTCATTTATAAGAGTCAGGGAAACTCTCCACTTTTTGCCGCTATATCCGAATGCAATATTGGTATGTATATGTGTGGGAAGCCAAATTAATTGATCAGTGTGCTGCTTTTCTTTTCTGGTTGTCATGTCAATTTTTTAAATCACTTGGTTAAACATATCTCAAGTTTTGTATATTTTTAATATACTTTTTAATTACCAGATGTGTTACTTTTTTTTTTTTTGGTAATATAAACCATTTTCAATTATAAATGAAATATGTATTCTTTTATGTGTAGCTGCTTTGAAGGAGATAGTATTCAAGAAAGAAGAGTTGATGTTCGTCACAGATGAAAATGGAAACACACCTCTTCATTATGCAGCATTCACTGGTTATGCGGAATGAAGGTGCTCATAAACTTCTGAAAAAATCCACCCTCGTCGCCTTTCAACGAAACTCAAAAGGTAATCTTCCGATTCACGTTGCTTGCGGTAAGGGCCATGTTCAGGTGGTTGAAGAATTGCTACGTGTACAAGGGCCTTGTACAAGTTTTTGGCTCAATAATCAAGGTCGAAACATTCTTCACATTGCATCTATGAGAGGACAAAACAAGATGGTAAAATACCTACTGAAGCACCCGAAGATCAATTCCAAAACTGTGAATGAGAAAGACCTGCTAAATGGAGACACCCCACTGCATTTGGCTTCAAAAAACTTGAATCTTTGGACTTTAGACCATCTATCACGAGACAAAAGAATAAATGTGAACCTTGTAAATGACCAAGATTTAACAGCTAGTGATATTATCCAAAGGCAAAGTAAATTTCCAAGGACTCTTACAGAGGTATTTTGAAGTATCTATATATCCAATTATTTTGTCAATTATCTCTTCCTTTTTCGAGCACGTTTTGATTTTAGACAAAATGCAGTTTTATAAAAGATTATAGCATGTAAGCATCTACTTGTTTGGTTTGATCGCCTTGCAGTTTGGAGCATATATGATTCTAAGATTTGCTATTGCCTCGCTCAAACATAATAATAAGCTGAGACCAGAACCAAAACTTGCACAGAATAAAGAATGGAATGTGAATGATGGGGCCAACACGCTCATAATTGTGGCCGTACTGGTATCTACAGTGACATTTGCTGCCGGTTTCACAGTACCAGGTGGGCTATACAATTCGGATGACCCAGTCCCTAAAGAAAGAGGGATGGCAGTGTTGACCGATCAAACCCTATTCAAAATATTTATGACTTTCAACACGATTTCTATGTATTGCTCTACTTTCGGTACTATTCTTCTTCTTTGGAGGCATTTGAATGATCGTCGTGCTTCAATACGAGCATATGATATCTCTAAAATTTTTGTCCAATTGGCTCTTGGAACCATGCCAGTGGCATTTATGGCTGCCATACTTCTGGTTGTCAGTAATGACAGCTTTCTTCAACATCTTACAGGTGTCATTGCATTTATCTTCATTTTCCTTATACTACTTCTTGGCCTTTTAGGATATTTTCCACTGGGAATTCACCTTCCGGATTTCCGTCAAGTTGGACAACTTAATCTTTGGATTCTTATTATGTTATTTTATGGAACTACGGATGGTAGAGTTTATGATGTTGGTGAAATCCAACAAGACGATGAAGTTGGTATGGCCAACCCAGCCAACACCACGCAAGAGAAGAACCGAGTCACCTAGTGTTCCTTGTGCCGACGATCACCCTGGTAATTAAAGTTTTGTTCAACCCTTCATTTCATTTTATTTTGGATACATATTCCTCAATATAAAAAGGCACTGCAAATAAAAAATGTTATTCTTAGTTCAGAACATCAGCAAGTGTGAAGAGAGTTGAGCTCACAGTCAAATATCTAGTCCAATTATTGTGAATGACGTAATCTTTTTTTAACAGCAGTTGAAGTTAATAATTGTTTGATGTATATTTATTATTATTTGAGTTATGTAATAGATAAAATACTATTTACTCTCTTCGTTTAAAAATGAAAGACATTTTTAATTGAATCTTACCTCACAATAAAATAGTTACTTACTTTCAAGTTAACCTTATTTTTTTATATTTACCCCTATTAAATACCTTAAAATAAATATAAGTCATTCACCAATAAGGGCACTTTTAAAAAAAAGGTAATGATTACATCTCGAAAGACTAAAAATACCATACATTTTTTAACATCTAATTCTTCAAAAAGTGCCTTGCATTTTTTAACGAATGGAGTATTTTATTATTGTATATTGCAGAAGATTTTTCAGTGTTGTTGAGATGCATGTAAACATATCTTTGTTTGATTGATTATCATGCAGCTTCTCGCAGTGCTACTGATTTTAGTATTTGTTGGTGACCCCCGCAGTAATAAGTTGTTAAAATTACGTTCGATAGAAAATAAAGAATTGAACATCAAGGATGCAGCCAACACACTCATAGTTGTGGCCATAGCGATAGCCACAGTGACATTTGCAGCTGGTTTCACCGTACCAGGTGGATTTTACTCTTCTGCTTACAAAGTCCCTAGAGAAAGAGGCATGGCATTGTTGGCTGATCGAAAGCTCTTCAAAATATTCATAGTTTTCAATGCCATCTCCAAGTATTGCTCCACTTTGAGTACTATTATTCTTCTGTGGATGCATCTGGACGATCGTCTTGTATCACGAGCATATTTTTTTGCAGACCTTTTTGTTAAATTGGCTCTCATAACCATGCCTGTGGCGTTTATTGCTGCCACACGTTTAGTGGTGAGCAATAACGCTTTGCTAGCAAGTTTAATAAGTGTTATTGAATCATTGAATGGATATTCACTTTGTTCATCTTGTTTCTTTTATGTTGTTATGTTCTTTGCCGTTGGTATTCCTCTCCCATTTTTTCCGTCAAGTTGGAGAAATCATTATTGTGATCATTATTAGTTTTAGTTATGGATGGAGGGATCTATCAAAACGATTAACATGGTGATACCAACCAAGTCAACACCAACAAAGCTATTTGAAGAACCCAGACGAAAAGTTTCTCAATAAGGCACTGTACTATTTTGTTCAATATTTTACCTCACTGTTTAGTTTATTTTACTTGGCAAATGACTAGCCTACAAAATAATAAAATAACTCATCGTCCATCTTATTTCAGCTATATGGGTTTAATCTAGCTTGTTCCGATTATATTTTGGATAATAAAAACTTTTTTAATTATTAGTTCTTAATAGCAATTGAAATCAATAAGAATTGATTAATGCTGGTGTAGTGGCGGCGGCGGCGGCGGCGTTTTGTAAATTTCAGATGACACGATGCATGGTGTTATATCTACAATTTCATCCAGCGGTGAAGAAGTGGGAAATGAAGATAAAATTCTGGTTGCATGTATTGAGAATAATTGAAATATTTCGGATGAATGTGCTGTGCCATGTATCATTTTCTTGAGTAATTTTATTTCTTGTTAGTATGCTACTTGTTAACTAGATTCGTTAATAGTGCAATGTCCCTTGTACATGACTTTCAGAACACACCAACTATAAATGTGTAGTGCACTACATTATCCATATTCTGTCAAATAAAAACATGCCATGTTTTATCAATTCAACCAAGTAAAATATAATGTGTTATTATTTTTAATGACTTTATTTTTGAAATATAGTGTTTTTTTAATTTTTTATCTTTTATCTCTCTATTATCATGGATGTTAAAATCAATTTATATTTATAGCCATCTGACATGACATGCTTTTATTGACAGAGCATGAATAACGTGGTACGTATCAGATCCATGTGAGAATTTTTCTCAATTAGAAGTCCAACCTTGACGGATTAGCTAGTCCTCGGGAGCCAGAGGGGCCTTGTCGGATTAAATCAAGGTTTAGTCCAAGTCCATTTTAATAGACGAGGCTTGCAAATGAATAAGTGCAAATATTGTCTTAAGATGTTCAGTATTTCCTATTCTGGACAAAGAGGAGGGAGTGGTTTATTATGCATGGTCAGAACCATAGACTGGAAATTTGGTCAACCCTGCCAGTTGAAGTAGTATCATTAAATGATATTAAATGCTTTATTTATGATTAATTTGATTATAATTTAATTATAATTTTGATCTTTAACCTTTAAACTAATATTTTGACTAATTTAATAATCAGTTCAGTTTTTAGTATTAGAATTTTAGGAGGATAAATCGGAAGTAAGGGTTTATTTTTGATTGTGAATAAAATTCCCAATTTCTCTTGTTATTCTGCATTTTTTTTAGATGTTAAGGGCATTTTTATCTCAAAATTTTTAAGGCATACTGGTCCTTCTAATATTAAAGTTGGCGTAATGTGTAATAACCCAGGAATTTAAATAAGAGATTAAAATTTATGATTAACTTTTTGATAGAATTTGTATTAATTTTTGAAACAAATATATCGAAGGGAATCGTGGTCCGGTGGAAGTTAACTCAATTGCAGGTCCTCGGCTCGAACCATGGTGATTCAACCGAGTTTTATTTTATTTTTTCAGCCTTTTTAAATTACGAGTTTACTGCTAAAAAACAGAGGGAAAAAAAAAGAAAGAAAGAAAAGAAGTCAAATGCATTAGAAATTAGAACTCACGCGCGCATATTCTCCTCTATTTCTTCCTCTGCTTTGATCCCATTCTGTGTGCAGCGAGGGTTTGAGAGCAGCGCCAAAAACCCTCATCTTTCATTTCTTGACCTCTGTCTTCTCCCTCCTCCAATTGCCGCCCCCTCCGCCGTCCAAACGCGCTGCCGTTGCTAGAGTGGAGCTGCGCCATCGCCATTCCTTTAAAAAAAAAAAAAAATTAGAGCTTCTCTTTCATCTCTGTTTTAAACTACTGCAACCTCTCCCTCCTGTGTCCAAATGATCGTGCAAGTGTTTAAGCTTTCCCTCCATCCACATTTGTCACTGTTTGCTTGCCGTTGGTGACCGCGGAAGCATCGCTGATCTTCCTTCTCCCTGTAACGTGTAGCAGCATCGAGTCTCTCCCCTGTTCACTGCAAACTCTTTTTCCTTCTTTGTACTGCTTCCGCCATTAATGATCTGATGTAAGAAGCTTCATTTCCTTGTTTCTCTGCTACTGAGTACGTGTATTGTGGGTTGAGATCGTGGATTTTCCCTTCTTTTCTTTGCTGCTGTGACTAACGGGACGATGGGAATTTAATTTTCTGAGTTCAAAAATTGACTTACGCTGAAGGAACGATATTGAGAACTCGATTTATTCAAATATTGAGAGTGGAGAACTTATGAAAAATGGTTAGGATGAGATTGGGATGAAAGAGTCTGAACTAAAAAATATATATATAATTAAAGATTGATTGATACCTATAAGATATTTGACAAAATGTTTGTTGCAGGGAGTTGCTTGATTGTTTTTGTATTTCCTAAAATCTCATTAAAATTATTTGGGAGACATAAATGATTATTCTATGAATTGAGCTTGGTATTGTGAAGAAGATGGATTAAGTTATTAGTAAATTAGTTGAATTATTTATAACTGCATATGTGATACTTATGTTTAGGTTATATGAACAATTTACCTATATATAGGCTAGTTATTGTTTGAGGAAATTTGATATGATTTGAATTTTCTTTAAGCTTAACGGA